TTTCTGAACTTGTACTGTAGTTCTCAACATTAAACTTTGAAGAGAGAGAAATGGGGTTTAACGCACACTCAACACAAACTAGGTTATTTCGGGACTAACATGGTTTAATTTTATTTCCATAATTCGTTTGCGCGTAGGGGTAATTAGCAGTGGGAGGACCCGGAGAAAACCCACGAGTTTGGACAGGCGACCCTACTCCTTGCCACGTACAACCGGGGATTCGAAACCACGCCACTTGTCTCAATGACAGGCTTTGTGATACAGCACGCACGTGCTAACCATTCGGCCATCCACCCCCACCCCCCCCACCCCCCAACTTTGAAGAGAAATCTGACTTTATGAAATATGTCAGATGTCTGAAATCTGGTCATATGTATAAATTTTGCAGTGTCAAGACTAATTGTAGTAAATGTGACGGTTCACATCATTCTATTATGCATATGCATACAAACAGTAGTGTAAATCCTGGTGGTGAAATGAACTCAAATAAGTTAAAACCTGTTCTTATCAGCGCTCTGTTGGTAAAGATATAAAGGCCGGCACCACAGATTGCACTATGGCGATCATTCCTGTTCAAGTTAAAATGCGTGGATGTTTCCAGTCTTTTAAAACGTATGCCTTTCTAGACCCAGGCTCTAGTGTTTCTTTCTGCACGCTCAATGTTATGAAGTTGCTTGGTTGTTCAGGTGGAAAAACGAAATTGACTATAGATACCATGGGGTCGTCACACACTATGGTATCATATCTTATTAAAGGTATGCAGCTTGGTGACTTCACCTTAGAAACTGTTATTGTTTACCAGACATTTATACAAAGGGGAATATGCCAGTGTCTCATGGACACATACCCACTACGGATGATATTCGTAAATGGACTCATCTTAAAGGAATTGACTTGCCCGTTCTTGATGCAGAAATTGGTCTTCTGATAGGCAATAACGTTCCAGATGCATACTCACCACTGGAGATTAAAACTGGACCCCCAGGAAGCCCCCACGGTGTCAGATCCGCACTTGGTTGGACCATATGGAACTTGGTCAGAGATTCGTCTAGATTGAGGCCTACTGTAAATAGGGCAGAAATTCAAGCAGTTCAAGACTTGGAGAATCTACGTCAAATGGTACAACAGACTGCTTTTTTAGATTTCCCCGAAAGAGCAATTGATGATGTCAAAGAGAACTCCCAAGATGACAACTGCTTTATTAAGAAAGTAAATAAAACTTTGAAGTTTGAAGATGGACACTACACGATTGGTCTGCCCTTTAGAAAAGATCAAGTTCATTACCGAACAACAAATCACATGCATAATGTCGTCTTAACAGTTTAGTTAATAAGATAAAAAGAAATCCCCTTTATCATCAGAAGTATACTGAGTTTATGGATAAGGTCATAAGATCAGTTAGATCGTAATGATGGTAAAGTGTGGTACATCCCACATCATGGAGTCTATCATGCCAAAAAACCTAATGAAATTCGTGTAGTATTTGACTGTGATGCTTTGTACTCTGGTATATCCCTAAATCAACAGTTACTACAGGGACCCGATATGATGAAGTTTGGTAGGTGTATTAATTCGCTTTCGTCAGGAAAACATCGCTGTAATGGGTGACATTGAAAAAATACTTTATCAGGTCCGCGTTCCTGAATGTGATTGGGAATTTTTGCGCTTCCTTTGGTGGCCAAATGGAAATTTGAATTGTAAGCCTGTAATTTATAGAATGGTCGTCCATCTTTTCGGCGCAGTTTCGTCACCTTCATGCGCCAGACTGCAATCGATAACGCACATCTATTTGATAAAGCTGTGGTCACATCAATTCTCAAAAACTTTTATGTGGACGATGTTTTGAAATCTCTTAAAGAGACTAATGATGCTATTAGTTTTGTTAAGGACCTATTTGTAAAAATGGTGGTTTTCGTCTCACTAAATGGATCAGCAATAAACGGGATGTCCTGAACTCGATATCCATTAATGAAAGAGCCAAAGATATCAAGGAATTGAACTAAGATTGCGAGGCACTACCTTTAGAGCGTGCCTTAGGTATCAACCGGGTTGTTAAACTGATGTGTTGAAATTCAATGTGAACATAAGTACCCTACCTGCAACAAGACGCGGAATTTTATCAGCTGTAAGTTCTGTATATGATCCGTTGGGTTTAGTTTCTCCTTTTATACTACCAGCTAAGTTACTATTACAGCTAGTATGTCAACTTGAACTTGGTTGGGATGATGTTATATCTGACAAAGAGCTTCAGAGATGGCAGTTATTTTTGAATAATTTAGGCTACCTAGACAGATTTGACATTCCACGAACTTATAAACCTGATGTTTTTGGTGAGATTACGTCCTGCCAAATACACGCGTTTGCAGATGCAAATGACAATGCTTATGGTGTCGCCATTTACCTGAGAATTGTGAATGTTGACAATAAAATACACTGTGCTCTTTTATTTAGTAAATCTCGCGTGGCTCCACTGAAGAAACTGACTGTACCTAGGTTAGAAGTGACTGCTGCTACTATTGCTGTTAGGTTGACAAATATGATAGTGAAAGAGTTGGAAATCACTGTTGATGAGCTATTCCTTTGGACGGATAGAATGTCCGTGTTGCGCTACATCAGAAATGAAGGTGCACGATTCCTTACATTTGTCGCGAATCGCATCGCCGTTATTCGCGATGGTAGTTCTTTATCATCTTGGCACTACATCAGTACTCGGCTTAATCCTGGTGATGACTGCTCCAGAGGACTTAGTTTTAATGATAGTCCACGGATAAAACGCTGGTTTAATGGACCCAGCTTCTTGTACAAGCCCATAAATGAATGGCCAAATGAAGGCTTTTCACAACACATACCGGGTGGTGATCCTGGCATAAAGAAGACAACGGCTGCAACTGTTGTTGACAACTCTGCGAACATTGTAGATAGGTTGCTGTCACAGTATTCCTCCTGGTTAAAATTAAGAAGAATTATCGCTCTGCTGTTAAGAGGATTTGACAATCTGAAGTATTGGGTCAACAGTAGAAAAGAAGTCTATTCTAATTTGAACGACGGTAGTCCTGATGATGATCAGTTAAAATCTAAAGTTACAGAAGAGATGAGGAAGATGAAACAGGAAGCTAAGAAGTCTATTATTCAACAGATAAATCCAGGAATCTTTAAAAGGGCTGAAACTGCTATCTATCGTTACGTTCAGCATCGTCATTTTAGTGCAGAAGTAGAACAGCTGAGCAGTGGTCTGCCTGTGAAGAAAACAAGTTCTCTGAGAAAACTTGATCCTATGCTACATGATGGTCTATTACGAGTCGGTGGCCGGTTAACTCGTTCCGATTTGTCATATGATGCTAAGCACCCCATAATTCTTCCCAAGGATTCATCACTTTCAAGAATGATCATTGACAGTGTGCACCGTTCAGTAGGTCACTTGGGTAAATGTGCCATATTGTCTCAGCTACGTCAGAAAATCTGGATTACCCATGCTCCAGCTTTGACAAAAAATATTGTTTCTAAATGTGTCACTTGTAAGAAGTATACAGCTAAAGCTATGGAACAGAAGATGACAGACCTGCCTTCAGAACGTTTGAAACCAGACGAGCCACCTTTCTCCCAAGTTGGCATGGATTATTTTGGCCCTATAGAAGTGAAACGTGGTCGCTCCATGTTAAAGACATACGGTGTGGTTTTCACTTGTGCTACACGAGCGGTACATCTCGAAGTGGCTTACAGCCTAGACACAGACTCGTGTATTAACTCTATAAGACGTTTCATTTCACGTCGTGGTCCTATTAAATATTTAATATCTGACAATGGTACCAATTTAGTTGGTTCAGAGCGTGAACTCCATGAGGAAATCAACAAATGGAATGTCTTAAAAATTGGTAACGAGCTTTTGCAACACAACATAAAATGGGACTTCAATCCACCATCCGCGTCAAACTTTGGAGGAGTCTGGGAAAGATTAATCCGTATTGTGCGCAGAATTCTGTATGGATTACCAAGAGAACGTTTAGTGACTCTTGATGATGAAAGCCTTCAAACCTTTCTGTGTGAGGTTGAATCCATAATGAACTCACGCCCCATTACTAAAGTGTCAAACAATGTAAATGATCTTGATAGCTTAATATGGAGGGGGATCCTCGCCAAAACTCTCAATTTGTGAAAATACATTTGTCGATTTGTGAAAGTACATTTGTTAATTTGTCAAAATACAAAATACATTTGTCGATTTGTCAAAGTACATTTGTTAATTTGTCAAAATGCAAAATACATTTGTCGATTTGTGAAAATGCATTTGTTGATTTGTCATACAACAAAAATACATTTTTTCATGTGTGAAAATACCTGTCTAACCTACAAAGCACAAATTTTGAAATAACACAGCTTAACTTTACAGTTTCAAGATATGTAATTTCAACATTTGTATTTTCAAGATATGTAATTTCAACATTTGTAGTTTCAACATTTGCAGTTTCAACAGTTGTATTAACGACACTTGCATTATCGAGCCTTGCATTAACAAGCCATGCGTTAGCGAACTATGACCATATTTGGGTTGATGACGTTGATCATTAATCCGGAAAACGCCGAGTTTGGTCCTGCAATGATGTCTCCCGTCTCAATAAAAATATCTCTTCTTGGGTGGAGTTTTTTAAGGGGAACTACTCTCATTATTTCCGTTCTTCAACATGGCCAATGAACTTATTCATGAAGTGAAGTCCCGAATAGAGGGAATTTGCAATTTGTTAGATACACAAAATTTTCAATCGCTTTCAGACATCATACATGATATACATACAGTAGCAGGTATTGTCTCAGATTTAATGTGTTCCATGCCTTCCACGGAAGAAGACAGTATAACGATGAATGGATTACAAACTTGTTTATTTCATATTCAAAATGCTGCAAATTTAATCGAACGAAAGCAGGCCAATGAAGTTATAACTGGATCTCTCGGACATTCATTGTCACCAGGACATACTGGACGACCATCAAAGTCAGTTCCATTTGAACAGCTAGAATTTTTGGTTTCTAATGGATTCAAATTGAATGACATGGCCAATTTATTTAATATTAGTCCCAGAACCATGAGTCGAAGATTGCTTGAATATGGTATTTCATTAAATGAAAAATATAGTCATATTTCCAATGATGAGCTAGATGAAATAGTAATTGACCTTCTTAGTAACTTTCCAAATATTGGGTATCGAAGTATAAAAGGACACCTGCACAGTAAAGGACATATAATTCAAGAATACAGGGTTCGTGAATCGATGAGAAGGGTTGATATAGAAGGTGTTCTCTATCGTCGACTTACTTTAAATCCAGTAAGACGAAGAAGATATTCTGTTCGTGCGCCAAACTCATTGTGGCATATAGACGGCTATCATAAATTGATAAGGTTAGTATTGATTCAATTACAGGCAGGGGCGGACTAAGCTTATTTATCAGCCCAAAGAGGGACTAGCAGTGCATGGCGTTGTATGCCGTGAATATTTGAAAATTCAATTGCTGGATGGGGGCCTGGTGTGGCCGAGTGGCTAGGACGCTTGCCGTTCATGGTGGGGGTCCCAGGTTCGAATTCTGGCGGAGATCGGGTCGACCTTGTGGATTTTCTCGACTGGGTTCCCCCTTGTCAGGTGGGGAATGACATGGAAAAGCGTTCTAGTCCATTGGATAGGATGAAAAACGGAGGCCTGTGTTCACTAAGCTACGAGAGGGCATGTTAAAGTCACCTCGGCAGTTAAAATCGGTAGTGAGAATAGGGTGTTGCCGCTGCCTTAGCAAAATTTACCCTCATTGCACACGCTTGGCAAATGCCCGTCTCTAGTTAGCCTATAAATTAGTGCAGAAAAATGGGACGTTAATCTCCATTTCATTTCATTTCAATTGCTGAATGTGCAATCTTCGCTTTAAAACTGACTATTAACATGCATAAATTTTTGAAAGGCCCTTTGGGTCGGGACCCAACTGGTTTTGGCCAGGTGTGTCCCCCTCCATACCTGCTTACAGGTGATATACCGTTTTGTAATGTAAGCTTATAGAATTGATTTAAGAGTCTTCGTACTGTAGTAATCATTGTTGATTTCTGACTCCTGTTAAGTGAGTTCGCTTACTCAAGATAATTAATCCAAAATCCATATTTGGATTTTTAACACCCATTCGAAACCAGCTATTCAATATCATTAATGTCAGACTGGTTTATGATATATAGGCTTACTGTATTTGTATGACTAGTATAATATTTTATATGGGTTGCATTTTTCGAAACACGATGGAATGGCGGTTTGTCAATTACCGGTATATTATATATTGTATCTTTAACATTAACTCATCGCAGTTCAGTTTGATTAGTGGTAGCTGAGTAATGATCATTTGTATATTTTTTCCATATCTTTTAAGCTGGCACTTAGTTGTTCATGGAGGTATAGACGGTTATTCTCGCCTCCCTACATATTTAAAGATTAGCAACAACAATAGAGCAGAAACTGTTATGCAAGCATTTAATGAAGCTGTTCAAAATTATGGATTGCCATGGAGAGTTAGATCGGATAAAGGGGGCGAGAACGTTCGTGTTGCAGAATATATGATAAATTCCAGAGGTTTTGGAAGAGGCAGCCATATTACTGGAAGAAGTGTCCATAATCAGAGGTAAATTTAGTACGTCTGCATTAATATGTTCGATTTTATGTTATACATCTGTCTGTTCGCATTATCCTTTGAATAATAATTTTCAAGTTATGGTCCTTGATCCCATAAAAATATGCCAAGTTTAAATGGTTTAAAATCTTGATAGTTAGTCAGTGTGAAGCATCATACAGAATGCCCGTATTATTGTTTGGAACATGTTTCAGACTTCTTCCACTTGACTACAGTATTAAGAGGTTTCAACTATTATAAACGATAATCAGCAGTCTTCGTGCCATTCGAGGGTTTTCATTAATATTAAAGATATGTGCAGTTTTGCGTTAACCAATGGATATGTAACATTTATCACCTAATTAGAATTTTAAACTTGTGATCGTATATTAGCGTTCAGAAAACGAATGTCATGTTCAATATTTGATACGATTCAATAACAATCACCAGAGTTACTGCCCTTTGTTTATAATCTAGATTCCAGAGTTTTAATGTGTCTTTGTCGTCATCAAATGTAGGTAAAGTAGTTTGTTCAAAAATCAAATTATGTACCATTGTCTAGACTTTGCTAAAAACATTCATTCTGTGACTTTGTGTGGTTTCATGAAAGGAATGTTGACAATTTGTTGCTCTGGTGTCATTTTCAACAACCTGTTCATATTTTAACAGTGAAATAGATCATCACACTTAATTTTTTTTTTATTTCAAAGAATAGAGAGATTTTGGAGAGATTTGTGGATGGGATGCATCAGTTTTTTCTACTACCTTTTTTGCTACATGGAAGCAGAAAACATATTTATACCAACTGATGAAATACATATTCAAGCCCTACACTATATCTTCATACCAAGGATTCAAAAACACTTGAACGAATTTAGAGAGGCCTTTATCAGGCGATCTATTAGGACAGCTAATCAGAAAACGCCGTTACAGTTATGGATAGATGGTCAAATCCTGGATCCAAATGAAAATCTTGCTTCTGAGGTATATTTTCATTGATATGTATATTCAAGAAATCCAGATTAATATAATCTTTCATTTTTTGACAGTGGTTAAGATTATGCCTAAAAATATTCAAAAATTGGAGGGTGAGATTTTGGGATATTTTAATTTCCATAGCAAACAAATGATTTAATCTGTTAATGATAAGATAGAAGTCTCCAACCTTATACACCCCAACAACTGTTATTATATCCCAGAAAGTTTCAAAACTTTTCGTTGAGAACTGTGATCTCTATCGTGTAAAGAAGAAGTTTTTATGGGCATGCACAATAACTAGTAAAATGAAACTTTCAACCTTTTCAAAGATAAGATACAACTTTTAAACTAGCATATTCATAATCAGTGACCTCAATAATATATAATTAATTGCTTGCTTCGTCAGAATCAGATGATTTTGTGACTTGACCTAATTTTCGCCATTTTTATAAACAATTACAGCAACTCTGGTCTCTATCACGTTTACAAGGTTTCGTGAATCAAGGTCAATAACTCTGGAAAACATTGAATTTCGATAGGCTTCTTCCTTATGCTGGTATAAACAACTACAGCAAGTTTCGTTAAAATTCTTGTTTACAATATGAAATAAACTTATATACTATTCAAAAAAAGTAGGGGATATTTGATATTTAAGTGTTATTAAAGTCACCTAATGAAACTGACGACGAAACAAATGAAAAAATGAAATGAAGTTCACATTCATCGATTTATTCCAAATGATCGTTAGACTAAGTAAGGCACAGACTGACCATTATAAGGGTAAAATGATACCAGGGGTCAAACAGCAAAGTTACCACAGCATCACAACCAAGTCAGTAACGGGTAAATCCTCCTCTGTTTGCCAAACAAGCATTGATCCGACGTGGCATACTCCTAATGAGACGTCTAAGGTCATTTTGGTCCAGATTGTCCCATTCCTGTTGCAACGCAGCAGCAAGTTCTTGGACATTGGCAGGACGTTGTTGACGTTGACGTAACCTCTGTCCAAGCATGTCCCAGACATGCTCGATGGGGGAGAGGTCAGGATTCAGTGCTGGCCAAGGTAATGTGGTGATGTTCTGTTGTTGGAGGTAACCTGTAACGATCCTGGCCCTGTGACATCTTGCGTTGTCATCCTGGAAGATGAAACGGCGGCCATGACGTCGTGCGAACGGCACAACATGGACTGCCAAGATGTTGTCCCGGTAGTACTGGCCTGTAACACGCCCTGCAACAACATGTAAAGCCGTTCTTCCAGCAACAGTGATGCCTCCCCACACCATAACAGAACCACCCCCAAATCGATCATGTCTGATGACGTTAACGTCTTGGAAGCGCTCGTTTCGACGACGCCACACCCTCCTACGTCTGTCCAAAAAATCAACAGTGAACCTTGACTCATCTGAAAACATCACATTGCTCAAGCGTCGATTATCCCAGTGTTGACGATCCCTACACCAACAACGTCTTGCCTGAATGTGATGATCTCTCAAACAAGGGATCACGCGAGGGCGTCGGGCGCGAAGGTGACCCCTATGCAGTCGATTCCGAATCGTCTGGCCACTCACTCTCACACCAGTGTCTGTTTGAAGACGAGCGCTGATCTGATTTGCTGTGATGACACGATTTCTCAAGGCCAAGGTACGGATAAATCGATCCTGGGCTTGAGTTGTCGCCCTTGGTCGACCTGAGCGTGGTCTGTCCTGTACAGATTGTGTATCACGGTATCTGGACCATAGCCTGCTTATGACAGACTGAGAAACATTCATCGTCCGCGCCACAACCGCCTGTGTTGTGCCGATCTGTAGCATGCCAAGGGCACGTAACCTTTCATTTTGGGTAAGCCGACGCATATCAAAATTTGTTTTCTGGTCACTTAAACAATCAAACTGATGTTTCCACCCTGGAATTCAATGCCACAATGACTGTAACATTCAAAGTCAGAGTCGTGCAAATCTTGGGTTGGACCCCCATGATGATCCCAAGCATCACCTGCATTCCATGCGGTAGCTATTGGTGCGTTTGGGCGTCACATGTAACTGGAAATGTGTCCTCTGTTAGGTTCTATAGTGACTTTTTTCGTAGTCATTTGCATATTTTAGTATTATGCCCCCAAAATCAAATATCCCCTACTTTTTTTGAATAGTATATCTTAAATAAACCTATAAATTCAATCCCAAACAGACGTTCATTAGATTTTAAATATTTTTTTATAGGCAGACTTTCAAAGTTACGGAACAATACAAAATGGTTTGATGGCATATGATGATGAACCAGAAAGAGTTGTTATTGGTCATTTTCCTATATCTTTAACTGATCAAAAGATGGAAGAATTGATGTGCCAAATAAATCCTTTATTCGATTCAGAAAATCAGGGAATGGACTTGTTTCTTGCAACCGTAAATTTCATTTCTAATTATCATGAAATGAATTAGGAAATCAACACTGCTTTTTTTCAATTAATAGGTTTTTATTGGGTATTTCACCAACAGAGGCCCAGTTCATGCTACATACATTTTCAATTCAAACCAAAACCATAAGCACATACAATTATGTTAATAAAAGCATTTTCTAGGAAATCGTATTCTTTCATATATTTCGTTTGGTTAATAGTAATAGATGGCGCACATGTATTTACTGTAGTGCAGTTTAAATTTTCATGGTCAAATAGTAGTAGCCCATCTCCTATATTTGGAGATATGGCAGGGCTACCAGTTGTTGCCAGAAGAAAATGTCCAGTATTCAGTTGAACATCATCTTCGAGATCTGTTTCCATATCCAACCACTGGGTACTGATTTTTCCACCTAAAAATATATACAAACTTGTTAAATAATTTGAAACAAAAGACCATCAAGAAAGTTAACATACGCCATACAGCAGTTTAACTTCAAGGCAGCTACTAGTCTTCTATGAAGGGCTGCCGCCTGCCGGCATTCATTATATTTTAGAATGTATCAGTAAAATATTCATAACTAATTTCCTAATACATGCATAAACTTTAGTTTGAGCTATTTTCCGATATGCACAGGTAATGGATCTCAGCGACAGGTGCATGAACATTTCGACCCTTGACGGAGGGGGATCCTCGCCAAAACTCTTAGGCCCGTATTCTCGAAATTGGATTAGTGCTAATCATAGATTTAATCTCTGACTTTTCGACCAGCCATATTCTGAAAGGCTGATTAAATTTTAAGCTAAGATTTTTATAAACTTTGATTAGCCTAATCAATGAGTTAATCATTGTTCGAGAATACCATAAAATGTGGTATTCTCGAACGTTGACTTGTACTTAATCATTGACTAAATCACCCCAATGTTTAGTCATCTCAGGGGGGTAGTTTAAGGAAAGATTAAGTACATGCATATGCAATTACAATGTATTGAATATTATAGAAATTATTATTTTTCATTGAATTCAGACTCATTGCACTTATATTTCGCCTCAAAAGTAACAAATTTACATTCATCGTAAATTCTGTTGAAAAAGTTTTTTTTATATATATATTAAACATTCTCTATTATATAAAATATAATTATGTGCACTTTAGTCAAAATACAAATAATTTTTAGAAGTGTCAAAGAACCTTTAAGGAATTGCAAAGAGCGGAACAAATCAACCTATTGGCACAAAAGGGAACCCACAGCAGCTAAATCGTCCGGGCAGTCGACAAGGATTGTCACATTTAATTATCAGAAATCAATAGAATTTGTTTGGCTTCTAGTTCTGCCCTCAGCGAACATTTACTATACAAAATGTAATAGGCATCCTCCTCTCAGTTAGTTACCCTCATTGCACACGCTTGGCAAATGTCCGTCTCTAGTTAACCTAAACAGTGCATAAAAATGGGACGTTAAACTCTATTTCATTTCATTTGGTATTAGTGTTGAAAGTAGAGGTCATGTTCTAAGTGAGTTAGAATTGATTTATAAATTTTTTCATTTTAGAAATCAATTCGAACTCATACATAAAGTCCTTTCAAAACTTAAAGCATACATTATTTCCTTCTAATGTTATTAAGTGTGGAACTCAATGATGAGTCTAAAAAAAGCTAAAGATCTCCTCTATCATCTGATAATATACAGTTGTGCATCCACCGAAATATGACAAGAAATTAAGGAGAAGAGATGGTGTAAGGTTGTACAGAATCCCAGACTATATAATTCTGGTTATTAAACTCTTTAAAAGTAATAACTTATACTTACGTTCAAGTTTCTTCAAAAACTGATGAAAATTGTACACAATTATCTCTTCTAACTCCTTGTCTTCTGGTTTAATTGAGAAACTAGGATGAAACAAATTAATTACATCCAAAGCCTTAACATCTGTCCGGCTAAAGTATTCGGTGGCTTCTGCTGAATACTGCATTAATAATTTATAAACACCATGAAGTTTGAGACCTAAAAAATATAAGATCTATGTGTATCTGTACAAATTAATTTATATCATTTCTATTATCACAGCCTTGAAATTTAATGCTGAGGGGTAAAAGTTGCATATATTGGATATATGCCATTTCAGTCTGTATAATTTCAAAATGTTTTTGTTGGGTTTGTTTTAAATTTTTGTTCATGTTTAAAAAAAAAAAGCACCATAAAAACACAATTACATTTCACAGCTCCACAAAGAGAACAATTAAGATAAGTCAGCAAATACTTTCATAGACTAACTTGGCGGTCCGTCAATTGGCCTCGCGACAATTGGCTCCCGACTATTTGAGCGGGTCAAATTGTCGCGAGGCCAATTTGTCGGGCCCAATTGACACAGACTTACCTTCTATGAACTGCAGTAATGGTGGCAAAAAATGATAAAATCCATAATGGCATCGAATCGCTAACATGGCTTCTTTTTTGTTTTCTAATGTCAACATCTTTTTATATCCTGCAGATTCCAATATATCAGCATTTTTCTCAAAAACCTCTGATACATTTAGAGCTTCTAAAGAATCAATCTACAATAGCAAAGATTAACAAGTGATAGCTTTGACAATAAATTTATATTTAAACAGGAGAGTAAGAACTACTTTTAATAAATCAAACAAAAGTTGAACATGCCATAGATTGAATGTACGCGAAGTCAATTATCTGACTTTTGGACAAACAATGGCCAATAACTTGTGTTCGCAAACATTTTTTACTACACAGGTAACAACTGTAGCCCTTATCGTGTTCACAGGCCACAATTTAATATGGACTATAAAATGAAAATTGTTTCATTTGAGCTGCAATTACCAACCTACCTCTTTAAGAGCTTGGAGAACATCTCCAGTTAACATTTCATCTGAAATTTCACCAACTGCAGGTTGTGCATTCTGAAGGATGAATTTAGTAAAAACTGTGGTAGAAGGCATCTTGGTCCTTGATTTCCCATTAAGATAGAAAAGGCAACAACTTTGCCTATAGTCTTGTATGTTTTATTCTGTAGTAGTGTTGAATTGATGGCAAAACCACTATTTTCAAAAATGGAAGTATGTTTAAAGATAAGAGAGAAAAACTCCCTTGTTAAGCCGCCTGCATCCACCCCATCTTCCCCTATGAATATTACATTTAACAGTTGATCAAATTCAAAATCTTCCAGATTTTCCATGGCTGTTTGCAAAAACATTTTTCTAACTACTGAGACATGGAATCTCTCCTTTACATTTTGACCAAAAATTTTCTCGGACAGTTGATGCAAATCATATTTTAAATTACCAGTCCTGAAAACAAAACCAACACATTTATCAATCGATTATTGCTCAGATACATTTAAACAGTATACAACATAATAATAGCAATATAGGTCTACATATAGTGATGTGGACATATAACATATAGCATGACATTCACCCAAAATGGCAGCGTTGTTTCATCAAGATCTAAATTGTGATGGAAAATGTTGATAACTGCACATTTTGCTAAGCTTCTTTGAAAACAGATAAACAATTCCAAGAGAAATTAAATTATATCGTAAGTATTAAAAACAAGCGATTGCCATGCGATATACGCCCACGGTAGCTTTGACAATAAATTTATATCTACACAGTCCAAATGAATGAAATGAAGTTTAACGTCCCATTTTTCTGCACTAACTAGGCTAACTATAGACGGGTTGTACACAGTCGAGTAACTGACTACGTTTATCGAATCATCATAAAATTCAAATCGTCCTAGTTTCATTCAGATCGGCCAAAAACTCTGGCTCCAAAGAGCACACAAAATCTAAAATACAATTTTCAGGCGAAATAAGGGCAATAACTGTAATGATTTTTATCGCAGCGCACCCAAATTCGCACTTGACCTTCAAGTTACAATTTAACCAAGATCTTACGAATATGAACCTCAATACCAAATTTGAACGAAATTGATTTAAAAGTATGAAATTGTGGATGGGCCGACGGATGGAAGAGACAACGACATTATACTACCATATTAACCTTTGGTGTATAAAAAATATGACATAAAAATGAAGGTATAATATAATATATTTAGAGATACCATTAAATATGTGATCCGCATGAATAGTTTTTCGAAAGTGAAAATGCAAACATGTTTCTATAAACACACAAAGTATAAAAGATATTATATTATAGGAATAAAAAAATTGTTTACTGTGTCCTTCCTTCGTCTGTTTTCTTGTCATCTTCGCCGCAAGATGCAGCATGTATTTCAACTAAATCCTCATCAAATTCTAGACCGCAAATTGGGCAAGATTTCAGGCTGTAAATTAAACAAAAGTAGAGGCTGATAGAGATGGGCCAAATAGTATATCGGATATACTGTATAAACTGTGTGGTGTCAGTATTGTGTCAATACATGCACATCAATGCCTACTATTGTGCAAAAAACAATACCGTACCGATATCGAATTTGAAATTTCAATACCTCCTATAACTTAACGGGGCCATCCCACATGAAGACAATATGCAACCAAACACTGTTTGTGCGTATAAAAATATGCATATATTTTTGTTAACTCTAATAATTTTCTTTTTAAATTGGGAACTGGAGAGGCCACAGATAAAGTGTAAATGAAACAAGACTATCTGTCTCTTATGGAAAATGTTAAATTCATGACAGATGTCTTATAACCATGATTATTATAATCCGTCCATATTATTGATAATAATAATACTCATCATTATCATTCAATATTAAAATTAAAACAAGAGTTAAACGCCAACAAAACAAGAGTTAAACGCCAACACAATATGCGCCCAAAACAGCAGCATTTTCTCATAATTAGACCTTATCAAGAAGCAAGGACAATAACCCTTTAAACAATATTTGGAATATAACTGGACTTACACCATGTTTATGAACTTACTAACCAAGTATATTCCAAAATACATGCAGTCTCTGGACATTAGCAAGTTTTGGAAAAAGGGCAATAACTCTCCATGTTACTTTAGAATCATAGCCAAGACACAACTTATCCTATACCTTATGGCTATGAACTTACATACCAAGTATGAACGAAATCGGTTGAAAACTCTAGGCGTTGGAGTGGCCACAAAAATTCATGAAATTATGGGCAAAGGCAATAATTCTGCAAGTTACGTTCAAAATGCGAACTCACATACCAATTATTAACAAAATCGGTCGAAAACTTTAGGCGTGAGAGTGATCACAAGAAATTGTGGACGGACAGGGGCGACGACAATATACGACCAAAATTAAATTTTGGGCGCGTATAACGATGGACGGACGCCGAGGCGACACCAATATACGACCACAAGTGGGTGTATAAAAAGAAGAATAACATAACTACAAAACTAACATTTAAGGGAATGTTTCACAAAATTATACAGTTTACAATTAATAGAGGCTGTTTTAAGCTATTTTCACATAAATTTAGATTCCTAATATTACAGGCTTTTTAGATCCAATTAGATCGTGTAGGTGTTGTTGGTGCCGTGGACGAGGCAATGACATATAATAGATCCTTGGCACGGCATAAAGGAAATTGTAAAAGGGTTGGGGCTTGAATACTTATATACACAATCTGAAAACTGTTATGAGAAGCTTAAATTATCATCTCTATATACCGGTAGTAAACATATAATTACATGCATCTATCCCTTTAACAATGAATCATAACAAAAACTCATATGATCAGGTTCATAACTATGAAAAAACAAAAATATAAACTTTGCAAAATGAAATACTTAGTTTCATGAACAACAAGTTCTTCGTTCTTGGTTGAATTCTGCAAAAATTGTAGGTCGTCTTATCACAAATATTAATAATATACAAACGGCCACAAAAGAAAATCAACACACGATTTGTTAACACAGCAACCAAATTTTCAAAATATTTTCATCTGTGATTTTAAAAATATTGTTTCGTGTAATTTGATATTTTCATAGCATATAGAGGGTAATTTAAGCCGATGTGAATACTTCAAAAAAAATTCTGCAACATTTCAATTGACCTCCACCTCATTAACAGCACTGTACCATGTTCTACCATATGTCACTTCTGGAACATGAAAATTCGGTAAGGCATGGTCGCAAAAAGTTGTAAAATATACAGAATATATTTTCAAATTTCTTGTATGACCATCCCTTACGGGATTTTCAGTTCCGGGTGTGATGTGTGGCATAACATAAAAAAATGTTAAAGGTGTGCAGGACAAATGCAGTGTCAAAGAAAAATTTTGTTCAAAGAAGCTTTAAAAAAATTATTTTTGACAATTTTTTTTTTTAATGCAATATTTTATTCACATGGAAAAGGATCAGAGAACAGGCTAAAGGCTATGTGAGACTCCTCTCCCTAACAATTATTTCATTATTGGCAAAAAAATAAGAGTTTTTACATCACAAACTAAGTGATTTTAGAAGGCTGTCCTGTCAAATAATGTCACGAAAATGTTGTTTATTTGTGCTAATGAGATCTGCGTTCTGAATACCACTTTTAATTTTCTTACAAATTCAAACACTATTAACTCACCTCACTTACACAAGCATATTTACAAATAGGAGTAACAGAGGACAACTGCTCTGACTTCTGTCTCTTTATTTTAGGTAAATTATCTTCCTGAAGCTAAATTAAAAATTTTAATAATAATTCAATGAAGGCAAAGTCAATAGGTTATCACATAGTGAGTAAAAACAATGAGTTAACATGACATTGGTTATTCAGAAAACAAGTTAAAACGCTCAACATGTAATGGTAGGCGAATAAGTCGATGCAAAACAACGCAACATTTCGGAAAGTTATCCATTCATCAGCAAACAAAAATTATTATTAAACTAGATACAACTAACAGCAGAATCTAAATGTGACAGCCAAAACATTACTGGTACCACCAGTTTCAAGGGAGAACCCTCAAGTCAAATCATTCAGAACAGTAATATAAACAAAACAAATAGTAATACATTAGGTACTGGATAGTAAATGTGTTGAAATGTATTTAAAAGGTCAAATAATAAAATAAACATGAGAAAAACAACCTAGAAACTGGATTTTGCAAGTAATGTAGCTAACAGTTTTAAAGCTATGATTTGTATCATGAATTATGAAAAGAGGACAGGCATAGAAAAGGTCTACAATATAATAAAACGAATTTGTGTTAATTTCATGCGGTTTAAGGGTTCCTAATCGGTCAATGATCTTTATTTCACATTGTTTTCTGTTTGCCGTACTGCCACTATATTATTAGTGCTATGGCTGAGCTTGGCTAAAGTGCATAGCTACAGGTTTTTATACGACCAAATTATGGTCCGAAAATATGGACGGACTAGTGCAAGGACAATATACGAAACAAAATAACATATGGGCACATAAAAATCATATTTCAAGATTATGCTTAATTTCTAACCTTTGATTAGTTTGCAATGCTTACTTACCTCATGAAATTCTTGTATATGTTTTCTCAAATTATTTAAAGGCACTTTTTCACCGCAATCCATGCACTCCTGTGTTATCATATCTGACTGTAAGTAAAAGATAGTTTCAGTTTTTATCCCAGAATATTATACATGGAGAAATCAAGACGGTATTATAGAGCTATATCTGAATCTCACAAATCTGATCAGAATAGGTTTATATTCTTTAAACTCTAAAACCCCAATGTAATAGAATTCTTGAATTATGAAACTCTACAAATTAAATGCTAATAATTTGACATTCACTACTCTATCCTATATTCAACCAAAAGTTTGTGTTTAATATAATGTAATAGACGATGCAGGTAGACTGCACAACACTAGATATATACAAGACATAACACACACAGTATATAATACAAGACACAATATACACAGTACATAAAAAGGCAAATACTCCCAGAGAAGACAAACAAACTCTACCAGTAGCAATCAAAATCACTTGACGAAAGGGCTGTGGTCCACGGGGTCTCCGTAAGCGCAAACTCAGCAACAAGTCACTAAACGTCAAATACTATTCGCTCCATAGGAGAGTAACATATAATTTTACAAAATATAAAATTATGATAACGAATCAAATATTAGCTGTCCAAAGTTAGAATTAAAGACTTTAAATTTATCCAATTTGTGATTGTTTATTAGTTTTTCAATTTGTCTGTGAAGTCTGCTGTGAAGAGCACCTTTATTTAAACATTTCTTATACAAAGAAACTAATTTATTTATAAAATTTGAAGACGGCTACATATGTTTATAAATCTAAATGTCTGAGAGTAAAAAACATTATATAAGGTATTTTCATTATTACTATAACTTTCAGTTGAGGGATATTTAATTACATCAAAAGGGAAATAATCTGTTTTGTCATATACAGTAGTATTAAAAGTACAGTCATCAATAGTGATATCAATATCAAGGAATGCAGCATGTAGATCTCCAGTGTTTTCTTTATTGAGTACAAGTTCAGGTGGATAGATTTGGTCTCTGTAGCGCTTAAAATTTCCCTTATCATTAATGGCAGTTACATCGTCAATATATCGAAATGTGTTATTAAGATTGCGTGCAGTTAGTTAGTTTTACTCCTATCTTGAAAATCGAATTTGTATTTATGCAGGTTTCCATTTGCCATAAATGGCGCAGGATCAGTGTCCATAGGAAGGCCAATGATCTGTTGAATGATTTTATCACCTACTGCAAAAATGGTATTATCAATCAAATAGTGGATAAGGTAGCTTGCCAGGAATAATTTCGGAAAACGTTGATAGGCTTCTTCCATATGCTGGATGTATAAACAACTACAGTAAGTTTTGTTAACTCTGGTCTCTATTTGGTTTACAACAAATTGTGGGCAGATGGACAGGGGCGATGGCGTGGGCGTATAAAAAACTCGACTGTACATACCTGCATGCCTTTTGGAGTCCCACTAATAGTAATATCCAGATCTCTCTGTAAGGGTTTGATATATATGATGGCTTGTCCAATGTATGACTGTGCCAGAAAAGCACTTGTGTACCCTGATGGAGGGGGGTCAATAAACTCCATTATGGTTCTTCCTATGGCACGATTTAGATCATACCCTCCTCCATCTATCAATTTTGGATAATGTGAATATATTTCATTTGAAAAATACTTCGCATCATCATTCTTAAAAAGAGTTATTCTTTTTTCTCCCAGTCCAGCATCCTGTGTGACTTTTCTTGCGAACCGATCAGGGACAGTGTTCTAAAAATATATTAAAAATACATACTGGTACATAAATTCAAATAATAGCTAGAAATTTGTTGAAAATCTTAAATAATATAAATCATCTGAAATATAAGCTTACTATAATAAATATTATTCAAATGTTCAAATCTCATGATTTAGTTTCCTGGTCGTACTACCTAAGGTAAAAGGTAGTAACTTGCTCTTATACAATCCAATATCCAAACTTCACATTGAAATAATTTGATTTGACCGCATAATTCTGCGTTGTAGCATCTATGTCGAACCTTTCTAACTTCAGGTTGTAATAATGTCAAAAGGTAGTAACTTAGTGATTTCCTAATGTCATTTTTGACAGTTAATGCTCCTGCCATTGCAACTTAACTACAATGATCACAACCCACTATTACCCTGTATTAAATGTGATGTTTGTGGTAAAATGTTTGGTCAAAATCAACTGTGACATATGTATTACTATATGGCTACAAGCTATCACCTACTACCACATCTACCTAAACTATGTACCACTATCAATTGAATGTCACATCTGTATGTATATAATGTGTATACTGTTTTGTTTATTGTTAGTTTGTCGATGTTCTCATAACATACTATATATTCGATGTACAATGGGCCTATGGCCTTGTAGTATCTGAATAAAGTTATTATTATTATTATTCAATCGTGTCTGCATAGTTTTAATACAACCACCAAAGAACATGTCGTCTCTGTCTATCTTTCATTTGTCTGTAGTCCACAATGTATTGTGAACACATACAGAATTCATCCAATGTTTATTTTCAGAGTTCTTGCCCTTGCTGTATGAAAAATTCCTTGTGGACTGGGCGATGATGAGCCCTATTAAAATTCAGCTTATTCCAATATGTTCATTTATCATATAAATACTTTACCTGTGTGCAACTTGACACACAAAAAAAACGATGAGTCCATGTGTTCTGTCTACCAGTACCAGCAACTCTTTTATTACTTGTCCTCGAAATACTAGAATAGGGACAAAACAAACGGCGCATTTCGCTGACATTTGGTGTTGACGGTCCAGGTAATATAGTAGTAGGAGTCTGTGTAGTTCGAGATTTTTCTTCCAGTTCTCTGGCTGCCTGCCTAAGAAGCTCAGCAGTTTTCTTCAGATCATTATCTGACATTTTTATTCTGAAAAATATAAAAAAGAATTTTAGTTGGACAACAACACAACAGACACCCAAAACAAGAACATTTTCTCAAAATTAGACATTATCAAAAACAGAATAACCCTGTAAGTATTTTTGAAATATAACTGGACTTACACCTTAAGTGCACAGGCAAACTAAAGGCAGTAACTCTTAACGATTTTTATCGAATCACAACCAAATTCAAACATGACCTTCATTGCATGGAAACAAAGATACGTACGGTACTAAGAATCGTTAAGTTCGAATAAACAGTGTTGTCTAGAAAGGGGTATATATTCTTCCGGAATTCGTGGATGTTCATCCAGGAATAAAATAGGCCTGTCAGGGAAAAAATAGTTTTAAGGAAAACAAGCGGTCGCCATGCGATATACGCCCACCAGCAGCTTTGCTCAAGTAAGGTAGTAACTTCAATGATTTTTATCGCATCGCAACCAATTCGCACTTGATCTGCACTGTATAGCGATAAAGACACATAACAAGTTTCATTAAGATCGGACCATGACACATGCCAAGTTTCGTTTCCATCAAATGAAAATTGTAGACTCTTATCGCGTTCACAGTCTAAATTGGCGAAGTTTGTCGAAAAAATGGGCATAACTCTGAACGTAATTTTCGAATTGCACCAAATTCGAACTCATCCGAGATCTTTGGATATGCCAAGTTTCATTTCTATCGGATGAACATTGTAGACTATCGCGTTCACAAAGTCTAAATTGACGAATTTTGTCGAAAAAGGGGCATAACTCTGCAAGTAATTTTTATGTGGGCGCATAAAAACCAGTTTGGTTGAGTATTTCAGCAATATTTTTCTTTACTATTTGCGAAAAAAAAGAGGCCGCAGGGGAACCGGAAAAAAACCCCAACTTAATCCCTAGCTACCGACTCACAAAGTCTAAATTGACGAACTTTGCCCAAAAAGAGGCTTAACTCTGCACGTAATTTGTATGTGGGTGTATAAAAATCAGTTTGCTTGAGTATTTCAGGAATATTTTTCCTTACTATTTGCGAAAAAAAAGAAGGGGCAGGGGAAACAGAAAAAAAAACAACTTAATCCCTAGTACCCTACCTACCGACTCTATTTTTTTTTGGAGAGGAAAAAGGAAACACAGGTATTTTTTTGGCCTAAGTTTGATTAATATGTTTGGATAAAAAAAAATATGGCATCTAGTTTAGATAATAAATGAATGAAATGGAGTTTTTAACATCTCATTTTTATGCACTGATTGGAGTCTCTATACAGAGCACACAAGAAAGAGCAGACGAGCAGTAACTCTTGCAAATGTTAGGCCTATCAAACCCAACTTCATTTTACGAAGACAAAGATACCCTACAGGCTACATACAAAGTTTCATTAAATCTGGATAAAAACTCTCGCCAGTATAGACTAGACCACAATGCATATAAAAACAAAATCTAAGAAAATATTTTAATTCAAATATTAGTCAAAGTAGATGTGTGGATCTACGGTATTATTAATATTATAGCCTAAAACTACTACTATTTATGTGTCTGTTTCAAAGTCACAGTGTCACCCCAATTCCGCGAATTCGTGCAAATATCTTCAAATATAAATTTTGACAACAAAAACTAATTTCACCTGTATTGTTGATATGTCTGTTGATATATGATTTTACAAATTAAAACTGTCTAAATTTACTAATTAAAAAATATTACTCTAGCCTATAAACCAATCTGATTCACAGAGAGAATTACTTACGAATTTGCCTATAAACTAGTTTCATTTGCTGTTTGAAGAACGGAAATAATGGGAGTAGTTCCCCTTGAAAAACTCCACCCAAGAAGAGATATTTTTATTGAGACGGGAGACATCATTGTAGGACCAAACTCGGCGTTTTCCGGATTAATGATCAACGTCATCAACCCAAATATGGTCATAGTTCGCTAACGCATGGCTTGTTAATGCAAGGCTTGATAATGCAAGTGTCGTTAATACAACTGTTGAAACTGCAAATGTTGAAACTACAAATGTTGAAATTACATATCTTGAAAATACAAATGTTGAAATTACATATCTTGAAACTGTAAAGTTAAGCTGTGTTATTTCAAAATCTGTGCTTTGTAGGTTAGACAGGTATTTTCACACATGAAAAAATGTATTTTTGTTGTATGACAAATCAACAAATGCATTTTCAAAAATCGACAAATGTATTTTGCATTTTGACAAATTAACAAATGTACTTTCACAAATCGACAAATGTATTTTGTATTTTGACAAATTAACAAATGTACTTTGACAAATCGACAAATGTATTTTCACAAATTGAGAGTTTTGGCGAGGATCCCCCTCCATAGCTTAACACCAAATCATTTGCTGCTATTACGTGCAGGTGAATCTCTGCCTATTGGAGGTTTTGATAAAACAGATGCTTACGCGAAGCGACGATGGTGACAGATTCAGTATTTGTCTAATATATTCTGGAAACGCTGGTCGACAAAAATGGGTAAAACCTAGAAGAAATGTTTGTGCTGGGGATATAGTTTTGATACTTGATGGAAATATTCGGTCTTCCTATAACTCTAGGACGTGTTGTAAATGTGCACCCTGATAGAAATGGTCTAGTGCGCGTTGAGACTGTCAAAACCAAAACAAGCACTTTGGAACGTCCAGTAAATAAGTTGTGTATGCTGTTGGAATCAGATTTGTAATCTGATTTCATTGTAGTATGCATGTATGTGACATTGTGGGACTGTTGGATAGTAGAAACTGTGTAGGTTAACCTTTATGTTGCATGGACTGTATTGGAATAAGAAACATGTGGCACTATTGGGACAACTGTTAATGAATTCCTTGAGATGACAATCTGTGAAAGTTTTGATGAGGCGACTGTTATTTTATGAAGGCCTTATCAGAATGATTGTTATGAAAGTCTCATTGGAATACTGTAAAATCTACTTGTAACATTATTTGTGACAGCTTCATTATAACATCTAATATAGACAACCATGTTAGATTGTCTGTACTATAAGAAAGTATAAATTATTACATGTTATTGTGTTTGAAAATTTGAATTTCATTTAATTTAAGTTTTAGGTTCTTAGTCTACATTATATTTCTAGGTCTGTTAGAAACCGTTTTTGAAATGTTTTATCTTATTATGATGTACTTTAGAGTTTAATTTGTTAGTAATCATTATTGACATCAAGTCCATTTAGTTTTAAGATTGACTTAAGAGGATAATTTGCCCTTTGTTAGAGTGTTTATAATCGTTCCTTGGCTATGCACGATTAGGAGGCCGGTGTAAGATGCAAATTATCAATATTTCGTTTTATTGTTTCATTTAAAATGTCCAGTCTTAAATTGAGATGTAATTTTTAGTTGAAAAGAATTGTTATCCAGAGTTCTACTCTTTAAATAAATTGCTATGCTAATTTGAGTCTGGTTGACCGTGTCTTGAGAGGTCGCCATTGACGAAGCATGGCTGTGTCATGAAGCTGTGCTATTATTCCGTTTATTTTTCATTGTGGGATGACATAAAATACGGTAAGCACATAAATTATTATATAACTGTCGAGTATAGTAATTAGGGAAAGTATTTATATTACTGTTATTAGTTGTCACATTCATAAATACTGGTTTTGGAAGAGTTTAGAATTGTCACATTATAGCGTCTATTAGGCATGGTTGCTGGGTAAAGGCCCTCTCATAAATTATGATATTTGCTTATAATGTTGACCCTGTTTAAGCCAAAACTTATTTTTGTGGTTATTTCTCTATTCTTATGTACTTGGTATATTGAGTAGATAAATATGTATGCATGGTTATACATTTTATCATGGAAATTTAAAGTTCACATAAGACAGTTAGGTTGATATCTGTACTGTGCTTATAAAGGCTGCCTCTGTATTTTCAGTCAATCACCATCACCTCCACAACCATAGTTGTAACAACCTTGTTATCAAATGATAGAAATAAAATGGTGCATTGCCGTTCATTGTTAAACCTTTTGCTGTATTTAAACGATGATAAATGTAATGTATACAAGATGTTGCAACGTTCGTATTTGAAATGTTTAAAATATACATTAAAATGTTTAAAAATAGTCATTAAATACCATTTGCTATTTAAAAATAGACATTAGAATTTTTAAATGTTTAAAATAGACATTAAATACCATTTGCTATTTAAGGCCTAATATATACCTTACAAGCATTATTAATATAATTTAAAATACAGATGTGACGTCACCCTTTGATGTTGGCGTACCATTATATCAAATTATCGTACGGGCAACTTGCCAATCGTACTAGTGAAATATTATACTCGGGTGACGTATTTCACTGTAAAAAGCACGTGCGTAGTGTTTGTATTTTAAGTCGTGTAATAGTCTCGAGCTTAAGACATTGCGTAATATATTGTAAAAACACTCGGGCTTCACGGCCCTCTTGTTGTTAAATTATTACTTAATGTCTTGCTCTCGACCGTTAAACAATACTTAATATACTTTTAGAAACCGCAGTTAACCTTATTCGTTGATGTTTATTATTGTATTGTACTTTTACATCCTCATATATACCATGCAGTTGTGTAATAAAGTAGTATTGCCAGTGTACCGTTTTTAAGTAAAGGGGAGGTAATACACTGTTTCACAGATTTATGTAGGTCAATGGTTATAAATTGAATGTAATATTAATTAACTTCATATGAACATATTCAATAAATATATACCACTTCATCTAATGTATAAACAACTCCATATTGAACTTCTATAAACGATAATAATCCGTTAGTACATTTGACCTAATTATTACCTTACGGTGGTTATTATTGTGACCGTTAAACACCATTATTACACCATATGATATGAACATATTCAATTTGTATTATACTACTTCATTTCACGGTTGAACACTGTGTATATTGATCTTATATGAACGGTAATAACCCTTTACTTGGGTTGACCTAATTTTTACCTCCCCTTCTTAGTTCACTAGTTTAGTGTTCCGGTTGATAGCATTGTGATCTCGAAGGCAGTCCCGTGTTAAATTATGCTTTATCTACAGTGGCCATCCGAAATCGCAACAGTATCCTGCCTATGCCTTGATATAAAATTGAATAATCCCAAATTTGAAGGTATATATTTAGAAAGAAAACATTGATAATGAATGAATGAAATGTGCTTTTATGGAAGATGACGTGCCATTGAACAACATAGTGAAACTATACGCGAGGTTTCACCACTCTCACTCAGAATCACAGTTATCGTGTCCCATCACAACCAATCAAATTGCTTCTCTCTGATATATAAAATCAGTATCGAGTCATGGAAATGAAATGAAATGGGGTTTAGCGTCCTACTGTTCTACTCCTATGCTAGGCTAATGAAGACGGGCAACGGCACTATCGCCTACTCGTAAATATCGAACTCAAACTGCCAAGGGATCTTTTACGTGCATTACAATGTATACACGGGACCTCGGTTTTTCGTCTCATCCGAACGACTAGACGGCTGTCCTTGGCAGGCCCTCCGTCCTGCATCACTGACAATGGGGAACCACGCCGGAAAATCTGCATTGGCCGAGAAAGTTCATCCAGATTTGAGCATTGGCCGAGAAAGTTCATCCAGATTTGCGCATTGGCCGAGAAAGTTCATCCAGATTTTCCGGCGTACAGTAGTTTCAAAACTTCCAATTGAAACGACTATATTGCAGTCAATATTAATGCTAGAGTCATATAAATTTGCAGTAATGGGTAAAGGTAATAGAATCTGATCATTAAATTTTAAGTAATGTTCATGTAATGAGTAATGAAAGATTTCAAAAGTAATGGAAATGTAATTAATTACATTCCAAAAATCATGTAACGGTCAATTACATTTAATATGGTGCATTCTTTGAATGGCATTTGGTAATTGGAACATAATCAAATAACACACTTTTATGGAATAACCATGGGCGTGGATTTAGGGGGGGGGGGTACGTGCCCCGCCCCCCTTAGAATCGGAGGGGAGGGGGGCGGGCGAATAGGTCTCTGCCCCCCCCCCCCCCAATGATTTTGATCGCCAGGACAGATTTTCAGGTTTATATCCTAATGATGGTGAGCTTGTTTCTACCTATCTGGAACTCAATCTGGACTTGGAACAAGTATTGCCATTCTTCAAGCGCCAGTTTTCGGCCAAATCTAGGTCACTTCTGCACGAAGCGTTCCCCAGTATAATCAGCTGAAGTAAGGCAGATATTCCCTTCTGCCAAAGCTCTTCTCCATCTCACACTGCTGAACCCTGCTAGTTCCTGCTCAGCCGCGCGATCCTTCAGCACTCTTTGCCGTATCAAAACTTGGCTGCGCAACTCCATGACGCAAACCCGACCGAAAAACTTGATGGCGTGTGTGGTGCATAATGACACCCTTCATGTCGTCAAGATATTCAAAGAGAACAGTCCTGATCGTAGAATGAAAGTCTTTGGACGATTCACTTAACTTCATGAACAATTAATATTTGTGCAGCTTTGATGTAGGTAGTCAATTTTTCCATAATGTCATCATATTACCCCTATTTACAGCCTTCATCGAAATAACACTGGTACAGTAAACGGTTCGTAATTTTTTATTTCGCTTGGTAATGAAGAGTTCCAGGTTTCGCCCCCCCCCCCCCAAAAAAAAGACAGTTATGACAAATCCACGCCCTTGGAAATCTTAATTACTATGGTTTATTTCACCGCGACGTTTCAACGAGATTTCACAAGTCGTTATCAAGCATATACATGTAGGCCTACACAAAAACATCAGTGCAATATATATATATATATACAAACATCAGCGCGAACTATCCAATGGTATACAAGGAAGGTGAACATGAGTAGCTATCACAGGCTATTGATGAAACAACGGTAAATAATCGTATATACTAGGATTAACTCATTATATAATTAAAAGATCAAACAGAGGATTGTTGAGATGTACTGGAACCATACACATTGTACTATACAACTGAAACCAGTTTAAAAGAAAATATGGCGTAGATCTATATACTATGATTAACTATCAAACAGAGGATTTACAGAAATATTTTAAAAGCATATAACAAGAAAACATATTAGTGATAATTTAGCATTTAATCAGATTTAAAGACAATAGTTTTACCAAGTCTTTAAATCTGATTGATTAAATGCTAAATTAGCTCTAATTTTTAAATAGTAATAAAATGTAATTATTTACTTTCAATGTAATGGTAATGAATGATATTGCTAAAAATGAGAAAGTAATTTTAATGGAATTGGTACTGTATTTATTGGTCCCAGCCCCGCCCCTTCCGCCACCCCTCGTCTGTCGGGCGGATATTTCAGATGAGCCGATATTGCTGATATTATCTCGGCTTCGTTGCAATTCGGTTGACTGATCATTACACTATCTGAAGAATACAAAAACCGTATATTTACTCTGTCAAATTTTGTAAATTATATAATTCAGTCCAATCAAAAAGGTCGTCTTGAAGCTGTAACAGATAATTCAGCATCCCATGAATTATAGAGCAAAGGTGACTAATTGGGTAAAACGCTGACTCGCTTGCCTGGAGGTCGCATTTTCGATCCATACATACATTGGCCGAGAAAGTTCAGTGGGATTTCCCAACGTGGCTTCCCCTTGTCAGTGGTGCAGGATGGAGGGCCTGACAAGGACAGCTGTCTAGTCGTTTTGATGGTATGAAAAACCGAGGTCTCATGTACACATTGACGTGCACGTAAAAGATACCTTGGCAGTTGGAATTCGATATAATAGTAGTTCATAGTGCCGCTGCTCGGGCAAAATTTCCCTCATAGCACGCGGTATGGCGTATGCCCGTCTTCATTAGCCTAGTCTGAGTAGACCAGTAGGACGTTAAACCCCATTTCATATCATTTCCCATAAATTATATTATATATGACCCAATAACACATTCTATATGAGACATCGCTTGTGTTATAACTTTCATATTCTCCATAAATTTGTACGTGTAAGAAAGGCTTGGGTGTTAAATTACAAAACAAGATCAATCCTCATCGTTGAAGTAATAAAAACTCGTGTATGCCCATACCATGTTGGATTATCCGATATGTAAGGATATGTTCGTAAAATTAGTATGATAAAAACGAGAGAGGGAGATAATGTCACGTACAACCGGGGATTCGAAACCACGCCAGTTGACTCAATGACAGGCTTTATGATACAGCGCGCACGTGCTAACCATTCAGTCATCTCCCCCCCCCCCTCGATAAAAACAAACCTCGGACAACTTATAAATATTGAATACATCAATACATATATGACGATGTCCCTATCCAATGTCAATGACTACTACACTACAGTATGTACAGGATATATAATACTTGAATTGCTAGGATAAATATACTTATATTTTCATAGGCCTAGACTGTGCCAAACCAATATATTAAATTCGATGAAAACACCAGAGTGAAACCACTATGCTATGGCCATGGCCGCCATGGGTGAACTTAAAAAGGTGAAACCACTGTGACTGTTACCACTGTTAGCCCATTTTAACAATCTGTGATTTGCCTAGGAGTAGGGATCTGTACTATTTCTAGTATGAACCTTTTCATGTGAAGCAGTTGATGTTACTGCTCTTTGGGGGGCCCGGTGTGGCCGAGTGGTTAGGACGCTTGCCGCTCATGCTGGGGGTCCCGGGTTCGCATCCCGTCAAGGTCAACCTTGTGGATTTTTCCGACTGGGTTCCCCCTTGTCAGGTGGGGGCTGACATGGAAAAGCGTTCTAGTCCATCGGAGACGACGATAAACGGAGTCCCGTGCTCATTCGATAGAGCACGTTAAAGACACCTCGCCAGTTAAAAATTGGTTGTAAGAGTAGGCCATGTGCCGCTGCCTTGGCAAAATTCACCCTCAGTGCACACACTTGGCATATGACCGTCTCTAATTAGAATTACAGTGCATAAAAATGGGACGTTAAACTCCATTTCATTTCATTTTCATTTCTTTAATTTCTGTAGAATGGATTTAAACATTAATAAAACAGTAGATCTGCTACGACAAGCTGTAGTTGCATTAGAAGAAGCGAGCGTCACACCAAGAGAAACTGCAAGGAGACCTGCTGCCAATGATCCTGGATCATCTTGTGCCGATGGTGAAATCAGGAGACTATTAACCAACACTTCTACTACTAGCACCCCTATAACTAGGCCCACCGGTACATCATCTAGTGAAATTCGCAGGCTTTTTACACCATACAATAGATCAAACCCCAGACGAGTACCGGTAACTCAACAGAGACAGTCTAAGTGGTCGCATAAATTTTTATGCTTGGCAGATCCACAGCAGGTATTTATTACAGATGTTTGATTAAAATTAATCTTAAGTTTTACACATCAACGCTTTAAAATGTTTGAAATATTTAAAGTGCTCTTCAAATGTTTACAATGAGATCTTAGCGCTTCCGGCTCCCTGCTATCTCGCATGACGTTACGCGGGGGAAATTCCTTATAATCTAATCAGGAAAGGTATGTCATTCGAGAATTTCGTCTTTTTTCGCCAATAGCTCAGTAAGCCCTCGGCGCACGACTTTCAAACTTCCTACACTGATAGATGAATAATTTAAAGCAATCATGCTCGAGTTCCGGACCCTATCTTTAAATTAAATTGGGCCATGAGTGAATTAGACATCAACCTGTCAAAAGAAAAAGAAATACTGTTTATGCGTTTGACAATACCGCAAATTTTGACTTTCCATTCATTGACACTTCTAGAAATTGACTCGAAAGCATTCTTGCACGCGATTCGTGTGCCAATTTTAAAACTTTCACTTTGTGTTAAATATTAGACATTAGAAGCCCATCTTTTCACGGTTACAACACCAATGTTGATTTTAATTAAACAATGAGTTCCGTAGTTGCAATGTCGAAGACTGTGGATGATATTGAGTTAGAGACTTGACTCCTTTAAAGACTAAAAGCTTACTAAATATCGAACCAAATTGTTGGTAGTCTCACCTGTTCAAAACATTTTGAATGTTATTACTCAGTCCTAGGTCCATCTAGAAATCAGCCAGATTTCTTCAAGTTTAGGAATGTGACCTCAAAGATAATAGAGATCTGTTGAAGAGAATCTTGTCATCAACTTCTCAAAGATAATAAATTGTCGCCCAATTATTATCTATTTAGATGGTGCAGTGTTTAAGTGTCATATTACACTGCTCTATATTTAGAACGTACAAGCTACATGTAGATGGGTTTGAGATTTTCAATTCAAATTGAACTAAAATAAGGAAATAATAGAAAATAATCAAATTGGAAGTAGAAATAAACAAATTTAATAACAAATTAATATAATGAAAATAAAATTGATTCAAATATTACATAAAGTAATAATAAGATATAATTAGATGTAATATCTAATGCATCTTATTTTAGCCAGGTTATACAAATATCAGGTTCTATGAGACTTTCAATTCAAATTGAAATTGAGTAGAGAAATCAATCAAATTAAATATAGAAATAAACAAATATAATAACAATTTAGTATAATAATAAAAAAAATGGATTCAAATATTACACAAAGTAATAATAATAAGCTTATATAATGAGATGTAATACATGTATGTACAGCACCTTGTCTAAGCCAGGCTATAAAATATCTTACACTATTTTACTCATATACTTTGATATTGACCAATTTGATGTTAACCAATTAAATGATTTTGGATTTTTTTCCTGGGGAGAATACTATTCATAAGTAAAACAAGCGTTGTTGAGCACATTATCCTTGTATAACTCTTGCCAGTGGCACTTTACATTCACCTATGAATATTTATTTCCATAGAAAGGGCTCAATGTCGAAATATTTACGGCCTATTGAGCCATCGTACATGTATATTATATGTGAACACAGGGTACAAATTTACAAACTTATCAATTATTATTTAAGAAAATTGGATCCAAAAATATCTTATGTTGGTTCATAGATATGAACATTTAATGATTTTTTAAATAGAGGGAGAGGTTACCAAAAACATATTTAATATACAGCGTTGCCATGCAAGAGACGCCAACATTTTGCAAGAGATGGACAGAGAACAAGCTTTAAAAAAATGTTTTTCGTACAATCAGGTATCATAATACAGGCAGACACGGTCCGAAGTATCGACTGGATTCAAGAACTTTGGGATATAAACATATAAGCGGACAAGATAAAAACGTGATTTCTCGTACAATCGGGGGGGGGGGGGGCATAAGACAGGAAATTAGGTCTGATATGCGCGAATATCAAAAGGAACAGAGATATTTGTCGGTAATGAAACATTTATAATACACTAAAATCTGATTACGGTAACAACTCATTAAGTAATTATCAGAAATCATTAGAATTTGTTTGGCCCATGCTGACGTTTACTACACAAAACATTTAATATCATATATTTAGCTGTTTAAGTTATCAAATAGCATTAAAAATCAACATAATTGTTCGTCTCAAGACCTTAAACTATGTGTATCACTCTAAAGTCAATCGAAATAATCATGATATAGGCGTTAACACGGTGTATAAATATAAAATCAATCAGCTGATAACTATCTGGCAGTAATTATCGGAATTCATTGAAAATCAATAGGCTTCTTCGTCTGATGACCTTAAAGACTATGTATATACTTAAAGTCAATCGGATATTTACTTTAGCCCCTAGCGCGTCCACCAAGGGCGTGGATTTGTCATAACTTTTTGGGGGGGACGAACCATGGAACCTTTCATTACCAAATCAAAATAATAATTACGAACAGTTTACCAGTGTTATCTCGATGAAAGCTGTAACTAGGGGTAATATGATGACGATATGGTAAAATTGACTACCTACAATTAAGGAGGAAGATATCGTGAAGATGAATTACTGTAGCGAGACCCAAGGCAGTGGTTAGATAGCCTTCAGAATGGGACATTCATGTGGATATAAACCTGAAAATCTGTCCTGGTGATCAAAATCATGGGGGGGGGGGGGCAGAGACCCATTCGCCCCCCCCCCTTCCGATTCTAATGGGGGACCCGTCCCCCCACTCCTCCCTAATCCCTCCACAAGATTTATCAAAGTCATAAAGGGCCATATATGTAACTCTGGCAGTAATTATCGGAATTCGGTGAAAATCAGTAGGCTTCTTCGTCTCATGACCTTAAACATGGATATAATTTAAAGTCAATCGTATATTAACTTTACCTCTAAAGGGTTCACAACCTTGTGTTACATACTTTTACGCTATATTTCAAGTTTCGTCAATATCGGATGAAAATTGTGACCTTTAGAGTGTCCTCAAAAAATTGTGCACAGACAGGTGCGACTCAATATACAAAAATTAGGATCGGAGGAATATGAGCACTTATATTAAAATAACAGCTCTTGTCTAGTATCGGTGTTCTTCCTGAAATAAAAAAAAACATGTTATGTATCAAGTTGTTTAGAAAATTGGTTTTAGTGCAGTCTCAATAGTAATAATATAATTGGCATTTTACTTTGCATCATGCTACTGTTTTCGTAGCAAGCAAACTGCAAATAATGCTTGCAGTACAAGAAGATATAAAATTGGGATAAATTGCTTACCTTGGAGTAGAAGTTTGTGGTCTTGTCTTCCGACGCCTTCCTTTTTGGGGGGTTTCATTTGGTTTGCGCTTAGAGGTTGTAGATAAGGATGTTGCAGACGAGGTTGTTGCAGATGTGGTTGTTATTGTTTGAGATAATGATTGTACCTTCTTTTTGTGTCGTCCAATTTTGTCTAAAAGTTCGAACATGGGACCTCCAGGTTAGCGAGCCAGTGTTTACCTCACTGAGCCATCATGACTCCCGAAATAAAGTTAAAACATTTTACATACAATAAATAAAGAGACTTGCCTTTAAATCAAAACAGAGTTCTAATATTGCAGTTATTAATTCAAGTGACGATTAGATGTTCGTTCGTCATTTGTTCCTGAGGTTTTACGTCCACTTCCACCAAGGATGATATTCTAGACAAGACGATTTAGACTAATACTACTACCTGGTGCTTTAACGTCTGCTTCCACAGAAGTGATGTCACAGAAGATTTGTCCGCGAATATAAAGGCTGGAATTTCCAGCCTACTTATTTTCTAATAATTTGATTAGTGGATGTGTAATCATTTTTCTAAACACCATTGGAAAACTAGAGGTTTATCCATTGATTGGTTAAAAACCAATCTTGACTAACTTAAATCCTTCAAGTGTCATATTGAGTAATTTGTATATAATTAGTGTTAAGCTGTTAATAAAAATGTTATATATAAAAAGAGCTTTTTATTTTAGAAATTAAAATGTTGTCATTTGATACTCACAATGGCAGGTTTATAGCTATCAACACTTATCTAACTGAACTATTTATATCAGGCCAATAATGCCACTCAAGTTGGACATGTTGTTTAGATTAGCATTCCAGGCAATTAAAAATCAGTGAACCGGGCCAAACCCAAACATCCAAAATTTAGCTCTTTTTTCTAGATGGTCCTAGGGGTGTACTGGCTTTCGTTCCCCCAACTCGAGCCATCTGTTGAATCTGTAATTACATTATGGATGCATTGTCACGTCAAAAAACAAGTTGCAGCATGAATTATTGAGTATAGTAACATCCAATTAGGAGATAAACACCTCCTGTTTCGCATTTAGAGTTAATTAATACAGGTAATTTGAATATTAATAACAAGTGTATTATTTGAAATACTAATAACAAGTGTATTATTTGAAATACTAATATATCCATACCACATTTCGACGCACAGATCTGTCTTCTAGCTGCCTTTCATAATCTTCTAAATCGGAAAGACAGGCGCAGACCTCCAAAAAAACCGGTAAACTTTCCGTCTGCGGACATGTTTTGGTTGTGGGTGGCATTAAATTATTTATAGAATGAATGAATGAATGAAATGTTGTTTAATGGCACGTCAGCTCCAACCGGGCTATACTGCGCCAAACATATACTATTCAAAAAAAGTAGGGGATATTTGATTTTTAAGTGTTATTAAAGTCACCTAATGAAACTGACGAAGAAACAAATGACAAAATGAAATGAAGTTCACATTCATCGATTTATTCCAAATGATCATTAGACTAAGTAAGGCACAGACTGACCATTATAAGGGTAAAATGATACCCGGGGTCAAACAGCAAAGTTACCACAGCATCACAACCAAGTCAGTAACGGGTAAATCCTCTTCTGTTTGCCAAACAAGCATTGATCCGACGTGGCATACTCCTAATGAGACGTCTAAGGTCATTTTGGTCCAGATTGTCCCATTCCTGTTGCAACGCAGCAGCAAGTTCTTGGACATTGGCAG